ATAGCTGCCGGTAGGTAGCACCCCAAGTGGGGGTAGCGCGACCGGTATATAAAGCCGGCTCGCGGAACAGATCGGGACCCATTCCCCGAGTACGACTCGGACAAGCCTCAGGGCGCACTCTGAAGCTCCGGTCGTACTCGCTCCCATCCCGATAGTCGTTCTAGGGGCAGGGCGTTCTCTGTCTCGGCCGGGTGTCTCGGCGTTCGATTTCCTGTACCTCGTCGTTCTAGGGGCAGGGCGTTCTCTGTCTCGGCCGGGTGTCTCGGCGTTCGACTTCCGAACCTCGTCGTTCTAGGGGCAGGGCGTTCTCTGTCTCGGCCGGGTGTCTCGGCGTTCGACTTCCGACTCTCCGTCGTTCTAGGGGCAGGGCGTTCTCTGTCTCGGCCGGGTGTCTCGGCGTTCGACTTCCGACTCTCCGTCGTTCTAGGGGCAGGGCGTTCTCTGTCTCGGTCGGGTGTTCCCGGCGTTCGACTTCCGATACCCCTTGCACGAGAGAAGTCTCTCACTGTCTTAGGACACAGCGTACCGGCAACCGTCGTCGACTCAGCAAGGCTCGGATATACGCGGTATCACTTATTTTTATTACTTTGTTCCGTACCGTACGAAACCGACCGATTAAATAATTTAATTTGTTTATAATTCAGCCAAAAGCGCACCAACGATTTACGCCGTTTATTTTCCGTTCATTATTCATTCGTTCGCAATTAGAATTATACACATGTACCGTCGCAACATTTACTCGTCCAACCGATTACTTATTTACTTCCGATAGTTGTATCCGTCTATACCATTAAGATATTAGATAGTATTAACCGACTACTTATGTACTCAATTATAAATGTTTTCTTTTTACACGCTCTATTGAATAAATATTTTTTTTTTCTTTAAAATATATTTAATTTGGAGTCTCCCGATAAACCACACGAACGAATTCTGGCAAACCGACGAGTTATTCTGCGTCGTAAAAATCCACTTCGCTAACTACACACCGTCGTAATTCCGCATCGAAAAAATCCGCACACCGTCGAAAATTCCGCATTATTACGCACCGCCCGTGAGGCGTAAAAATACGCAACGTTACAAATTTTACAATTGTCGCGGTAGAGAGGCGCCATGTACTCGTATTGAAACTCGTACAAGCAGGTCTTGGATATGTCGAGGATACACATACCCACGTAGATCGGCTTGTCGAATTTCACTTCGAGTTTTCGCAACTCTACGGCGACTAGATTCTCCGAGAACACGCTTCGGCTGTGAAAATTCGGTTTGGCGATCATAGCCTCCGCTCCGTACCAACCCTCCCACTGTGTAACGAGCCGTACATCCGTATGATTTCGCACATTCTCCATGGTTTTGCCGAAAACCGCGTTGTTCATCAATTTGTATAAATTTTTCTCGAATTCATTACTCGCGAGTGTCCGAAACTGCGTATTTAGTTCGATGTATCCTCGAAGCCATGGAGATTGCGCGAATTGCAGTACGCGGTGAATCTTTGCAATTCGCAGATCATGTAGCACGCATTGCTGCAGATTACGGTAGTGAATGACATAACGCTGCT